AGTCTAGTCTATAGTCTAGTCTATAGTCTAGTCTATAGTCTAGTCTATAGTCTAGTCTATAGTCTAGTCTATAGTCTAGTCTATAGTCTAGTCTATAGTCTAGTCTATAGTCTAGTCTATAGTCTAGTCTATAGTCTAGTCTATAGTCTAGTCTATAGTCTAGTCTATAGTCTAGTCTATAGTCTAGTCTATAGTATAGTCTATAGTCTAGTCTATGGTCTAATCTATAGTCTAGTCTATAGTCTAGTCTATAGTAGTCTATAGTCTATAGTCTAGTCTATAGTCTAGTCTATAGTCTAGTCTATAGTCTAGTCTATAGTCTAGTCTATAGTCTAGTCTATAGTCTAGTCTATAGTCTAGTCTATAGTCTAGTCTATAGTCTAGTCTATAGTCTAGTCTATAGTCTAGTCTATAGTCTAGTCTATAGTCTAGTCTATAGTCTAGTCTATAGTCTAGTCTATAGTCTAGTCTATAGTCTAGTCTATAGTCTAGTCTATAGTCTAGTCTATAGTCTAGTCTATAGTCTAGTCTATAGTCTAGTCTATAGTCTAGTCTATAGTCTAGTCTATAGTCTAGTCTATAGTCTAGTCTATAGTCTAGTCTATAGTCTAGTCTATAGTCTAGTCTATAGTCTAGTCTATAGTCTAGTCTATAGTCTAGTCTATAGTCTAGTCTATAGTCTAGTCTATAGTCTAGTCTATAGTCTAGTCTATAGTCTAGTCTATAGTCTAGTCTATAGTCTAGTCTATAGTCTAGTCTATAGTCTAGTCTAGTCTAGTCTATAGTCTAGTCTATAGTCTAGTCTATAGTCTAGTCTATAGTCTAGTCTATAGTCTAGTCTATAGTCTAGTCTATAGTCTAGTCTATAGTCTAGTCTATAGTCTAGTCTATAGTCTAGTCTATAGTCTAGTCTATAGTCTAGTCTATAGTCTAGTCTATAGTCTAGTCTATAGTCTAGTCTATAGTCTAGTCTATAGTCTAGTCTATAGTCTAGTCTATAGTCTAGTCTATAGTCTAGTCTATAGTCTAGTCTATAGTCTAGTCTAGTCTATAGTCTAGTCTATAGTCTAGTCTATAGTCTAGTCTATAGTCTAGTCTATAGTCTAGTCTATAGTCTAGTCTATAGTCTAGTCTATAGTCTAGTCTATAGTCTAGTCTATAGTCTAGTCTATAGTCTAGTCTAAGTCTAGTCTATAGTCTAGTCTATAGTCTAGTCTATAGTCTAGTCTACAGTCTAGTCTATAGTCTAGTCTATAGTCTAGTCTACAGTCTAGTCTATAGTCTAGTCTATAGTCTAGTCTATGGTCTAGTCTATAGTCTAGTCTATGGTCTAGTCTATAGTCTAGTCTATATTCTAGTCTATAGTCTAGTCTATGGTCTAGTCTATAGTCCAGTCTATTAATAAACATTAACTTTTTCTTAACAAAAATTATTTATGATATGATATTTTTATGTTTCATATATTTCTCAGCAAAAATAGTTTATGTCATGACATTTCTCTTCAAATAAATTTTTTATGTCATGACATTTTTCTTAACAAAAATTTTTATGTCATGACATTTTTTATAACATAAGTCATTTATGTATGACTTTTTTAACAAAATTGTTTATTTCATGACATTTTTATTAAAAAAACAGTTCATGTCGTAATATTTTTCTTAACCAAAATTGACATGACATTTATCTTAACGAAAAATGTATATGTCAGGATATTTTACTTAAAAACTTGATTCATCTCTTGATATTTGCCTTAACAAAAATTATTCATATCATAACAGTTGTGTTGACATGAAAAATCGTCAATTTGAGAACATTGGGATAAAATTTTTTATGTTAAGATCAACTTATTACTAAAGAGAATGCTAATACCTAGACATTTTTCTTAAATAGTTAGTGAAAGTATTTCTAATCATTTCCAATAGAATACTCTCTAAACTTAGCTGCTGTTGCTAAATCTAAAGATACCATCACTTATATTTTCTATTAAAATTCCAATCAAATATTGTACATATTTGTGAGACAGCCATTTAATAATTGATAACACATTTTTAGTTTTCTATTTCTCTTTAGTATTTTATTTTAAAACACATTTTTTCATTAAAATTCCTCATGATTGAGTCGTCGTCTCGTTGTAGGTTTGCGCTTAATATGAATGAGTCTTTTTTTTTCAGCGAAACCTTAGTAAATAGAAAAAAAGCACATGTGCTTAAACATTCCTTATCAGTAGAGTTTTTTCTTCATTTTTTTTATGCCAAATACAACTAATATCATTATAAAAAATTTCATAGAGAAACAAAAAAAATGTGTTTTGCGTTTAAGTACCAGCAGAAAACGCAACAGCTGTTACAATTAAATAAATGTAAAAAGAAAGAGGAGAAAGAGAGATAGAGAGAGGGGCGGAAAATAAATATGGAATTTAGTTGGTTTGACATTCATTATATTCTATGGATTCAATTACGAGTTTTTGTTGTTGTTCTTGATAAATATGTTTAACAAATAAATGCTAGAAATATGATAATAAAATATGCCGGTATTAATGTAAATTATAGCGATAAACTTAACAAAATGATGTCGTTTTGTCGTCGTTATTATGTTTATGTTTTATTCTTTTAATTTTTTATTTATTTATAGTCACAGACATTTTTATGATTGTTTGTACCAAAATAGAGATACTAAAATTCGAAGAACTAATACACCACCGCCATGTGTGTTTAGACATAATTGTAGAATTTTTTAAAGGGTTTTCCAAAAAGAGATATTAATCTGTTGAAATTACAATAAATGTGAAATCTTTCGCTTAAAACTTTTATCTGTTTCCAGAGAAAATTAATTTATATCAAAAATTCCTGAGTAAAATTTCTTGACATAAAATTTTTTATTAAAACCATGTCATGACATGAAAGAAATATCTTGTAAAGAAAATAATAACAAAGGTTTTATAAAGAAAAGGATTTTGAGAAGAAAAATGTAGTATCATGAAAAATTTTTGTTAAGTAAAATGTCATGACATGAAAATGTGTTTTTCATAAATACTGTCTTAATAAAAAAATTATTAAAAAAAATGTTTAATATGAAAATTTTTTGTTAGGACAATGTCATGACATATATAAAATCTTAAAATAATAAAAACTAGGTTTTAATAACATAAAATTTGATAAAGAAAAATGTCTTGACATTAAAAATTTTTGTTAAGAAATACATATGTCATGACATAAAAAATTATCTGAAAAATAACAGTACATAAAAAAGTTTGTTAAAAAAAATGGCATGAACATTTTTTGTTAAGAAAAATATTTCGATATGAATAATTTTTGTCTAGGAAAATGTCATGGCATGATCTTTTTCAGAAAAATGTGATGACAAGAATTTTTTTTAAGAAAAATTTTATGACAATTGTTAGTTTAGTTAAGTTTAATATTAAGAAACATGATATGGCATGAAAAAAATGTCTGTTAAGTAAAATGTCATAACATGAAAAAATTTTATCAAGAAAAATGTCATGACATGAATTTTTTTTAATGAAAACTGATATGTATAATAAAATTCTTAAGATAAATCTTTTAACATAAAAAATTTTCGTTATAACAATATCATGACAAAATCTTCTAAAGAAAATAAATAAAAAAAAAATTATGATGAATATTTTTTATTAATAAAATATCATAACATAAAAATTTTTGTGAAGAAAAATGACATGACATAAATTTAAAAAAAAAATATGATGAACATGTTATGGATTTACAAGTCTTAACAATTTAGTTTAGGAAAATATCTTGACATTCGATTTTTAAAGGAAAAATTAAGAAATTATAAAAATTTCTTGACATAAAAAAAATGTTGTGAAATAAATGTCTTGACATAAAAAAAATGTCATAACATACAAATTTTTTTATTATTTTGACAATCCTAAGAAAAATTTGTCGACATGTAACAGTATGAAGAGAAATGTCTTGACATGAAAACAATTTTCTTTTGGAACAATGTCTTGACAACAAATTTTTATATTTTATTGACATAAAAAATGTTGCAAAAAAATGTCTTGACATGAAAAAATGTCATGACATATATTTTTTTTATTATTTTAATAATCTTAAGAAAATTTCTACTTAAAAAATGTTTTGACAAAAAAATTTTTTGTGTGAAAAAATAGTTTGAAAAGAAAATTTATTTAATTAAAAATTTCTTAATTACACATCTATAAAGAAAACCCTATAGAAAAATTAAATAAAATTTATTTAAACAAAACAAAATCTGGGTCTATAGCCAACACGTGATTAAATTTTTTACGTTGAAGTGGAACGTGTTTTAATTGTTTATAATGATGAAGAAAAATAAAGGGACCAACAAACTGGAATTTCCTTAGATATCGTAAGTTTTTTGACAGTAAGTCTGACCCTATTATCATTCTTTTAAGATCTTAAATATCCTGTAAAATGAATTGTTTAACAAATTTACAATAAAAATATGTGAAAAAATTAATTTTTTTTTTTTTTTGTGCTCCAAACCAAAACCAAATGGATAAAAACCACGAAGTAGACACAAACACAACAACTGTATGAAAATTTTTGTTAAAGATAAATATTAAAGTAAAAATATAAAAAATGTATTAGGGAGAAAAAGGAACTATTTCAATGCACAAGAGGTCAAAAGAAAGAAATGAAAAATTTGCACAATGGGTTTAAAATTTTAGAAAGTGGGAATTGAACTCCAGCCTGAATAGTATTCATTAATAATATAATATTAAAAAGAATTGAAACGAAAAAAGAGAAATTTTAAAACTCAATTCGAAAGCAACCCTCGTGCATTGAAAATAAAAGGCGTTGGGGTTTTATTAGTTGGTAAAAAAAACTTTTAAAAAAATGGGGACACAATGAATGGATACAACAGATACAAACAAGTGGAGGAAACATAAAGATAAATGAAACAAAGTGGAAGAGAAATGAGAGGACTGGCGACCAGGGAAAGAAATTGAATTAAAAAAAAAGAGTAATAAAACTTACCGCATTTTGTTGCTGTTGCTGCTGTTGTATTTGCTGTTGCTGCTGTTGTTGTTGCTGTTGTTGCTGCTGCTGTTGTTGTTGCTGCTGTTGTTGCTGCTGCTGTTGCTGCTGCTGTTGTTGCTGCTGTTGTTGCTGTTGCTGCTGTTGTTGCTGCTGCTGTTGTTGCTGTTGCTGCTGTTGTTGCAATTGGGCGGCTGTATTAGCATCGATCTGTCCCTGATTGGCTGCGGAATACCACCACTGAGAACCGGGCACGGCAGCAGCTGCTGCAGCCTGAGCCATATTTAGACGATAGTCGTAGGCGGGTGTGCCGGCTGCATTCGATGTCGCCACCACCTGGGCCATTGTGGTGGCTGGATTTGGAAAACTACTGGCCATTTTGTAGGTGAACAATTGTTGGGTGCCAACACCAGACGTTGTATTGGCGTTATTTTGATGCGCTTGCTGTTGATTTTGTTGGACGACAACCTGTTGTTGTTGCTGCTGATGCTGCTGCTGCTGTTGTTGCAATTGTTGTTGTTGCTGGACAGCAGCGGCTGCGGCAGCGGCTTGTTGCTGTTGCTGTGCAACCAATTGTTGCTGATAATGTTGTAAAGTTTGCTGATCAATTGTTTGTTGTTGTTGTTGCTGTTGTTGTTGGTGTTGTGTAGCAGCCGCAGCGAGTGCGCCGGGCCACCATAAGGCAGCTTCGGCAGCAGTCGCTTGGCGTTGACCCCAAGCGCTGTGTTCTGACATAGTAATGATTTTCTGTGGATGCTTTTGTTTGCGTTTCTCTATACTTTTGCTTGTAATTTTGACCAGGCGCTTACAAAAAAATAAGACTTAACTAACTAACTCTAACTAGGAGGGGTATGTTTTGGAAGTGGAATTTATGGAAGTATTCTAAATATGATTCTTTTTTCTCAAACAGAATCAAAACAAACTTAAACAAAAAGTGAGGTTAGTTTTGTTTTATTTCTAAACGGGAACACTTTTTTTTGCTTATTTGTTGTTGTTGTTTAATAAATAATAATTACAAATTTATATTATTTAAGAAATTTTCACTTGTTTTCTTCTTAATTTATTATTATTTTAGTTTTATTTATAATAATAAAGTGTTTGCCTTTATGTTGTACTATGTTGTTGTTGTTTTGCTGTTACTAATGGTATTAATACTAATTGTTGTAGTACTTTTTTGTAATTTTAGTAACTTTGTCGTTTTTTTAGTTGTTTGTGGTTTTAAATTTAATAAAACTTTTCTTTTTTTCAGCATTTAGTTAATTTTTTGTTATTTTATTTGTATTAAATTAAACAAAATTTATTATATTTTTGTTTTTACTATATGCAACACTGTTTGTTACATTACTTTTTTTCCTTTTTGTTTGCTTCACTTTGCTTTCTTGTATATTTTTGGCTTTTTATTAATTCCGGCGCGCAGGTTTATTATTATTTTATCTATAATTTTAAGTTAAATTTTAATAATTTTTTAAGTTTTATTTTACAAATTTTAATAATTTAAAACAAGTTTAAATTAAAACAATAAAAACGTAACCAAAACATTTTGCAGCCGCCATTAAATTTTCAACATTAAAAAGGGGGATAATAAAGGAAAACATACACACAAACACAAAAATTATATACCAGCAGAGAGCCAGAAAAAAGAAGACAGACGTCAATGATGGTAGATGATGACAACAACAGCCAAACGTTGTTGCTTGTTCATTTTGTAGTTTTCTGGTTTTTGTATATGAAAAAAAACATGTGTTTGCTTGTTTGTGTATACGTGTTGTGTTTGATGATGCAAAAAAGGGAGAATATAGGGACAAAATGAAAAAAAAAAATGGGAAAAGAATTTTTAAGTTTTGTTTTTTAACAAAAAAAAAAAAAAACAGCAGTTTAGGCGTAATATTAAATAGTCCTTATAGTTTTAATTTAAATTTTTAGGATTGTTTTGGAAAATTTGGAACCTATTAACCCATAAATGTCTAAAATATAGAGAAAAACTTTTTTATGCAAGAAAAGATTTAAATTTATTGGAAAATACCTATCAAGTTTTCTAAATCCTTATAATCTTTTGAACCTAATAAGCTCAATAGTAGTATCATGAATATTTCCAATGAAAAGATAATTAATGGAAGAGTTATAGGCGGAAGAATGTTCTATTCATTTTAAGGGTTCCTCGTGATCTTAGGGTCGTGTTTGAGAGCTCTTGGTATAAAATTTTCTTTCCGGATTATTTAGGGTAATAAATTAGTTATTACTAGTCCATAAAGGATTAAATATTGTGAAAAAATTTTAAGAAAAATTTCTTGCTTTTAAAAAAATCTAGTCTTTTAAGATCTGGTTGTGCGTATTATGGTTTAGGAATAAAAGGTTATAGTTCTGCTTCGAAAAATAATCTGAAAAGTTGCAATAATATAGGACTTTATAGCTGCAGAATATGAATTAGACTCGTTTTAGAATTCTTCCTACTAAATGTAATTTTTTGATGATATTTGATAACTTAAGTTTGAGGGAATAAAAGGTCGTAGTTCTAGGTTCTCATTAATGGTGGAAGTTTTAGCTGCTGAATAGGAGTTAATGTTGTTTAAAAATTTTTTTCACAAAATTTTGCTTCTAGACAACCTCCATTAACTTTAGGATTAGCTAAAAAAAGCAAGGTCATTCCAGAAAGTTTTGTCAGTTAACGGCCCTTAGTAGGTTAAAATTTAGGCCAAGAAAGAAAATTTCATAACAATATGGGATTTTTAGCTTCTTAGACAACTGTTGGTCTTATTATGTTGTTGGAAGTATTGTTGATAGGTAGTTTTAGTTATAATCCTGGCGAAAATCTGCCCAAACGGTGCAATAATATAGAAGTTTAAAGAGTTAGAAGAGGCGTGTCTTTAGTTTTTAGTGAATTGTATTCATTGTTATCCTTTAACAAAATTTCTTATAAATTTATTAATTTTATTATAATCTAATAATTAATTTTTAATATTTTCTTATAAATTTATTAATTTTATTATAATTTAATAATAAATTTTTAATATTTTCTTATTATTTTATAATTTTTGTTTGTATTTTTATTTTGTTTTTAATTTAAAGCTTGTTATTAAATTATTAAAATTGTAATTATTTCTTTATTTTTATTAATAATTTAAGCTATTTTATGATTTTATAGTTTATTTTATCAATTAATTTAATATCTATTTAATTAATGTTAAAATTTTCTTGACATATGTTTTTAAGTGTTGTTTTTGTTTAGTTTATTTTGTATGTTATCATTTTCCTTTATAGTTTTAATATTGCCAGATTGATGAGTGAGTGTGCATAGCATTTACATGTATGGTTGTATGTTGCAGAGATGGCAAAGGTGTTGTTTATATTCCTTTTTGTCTTATTGTTGTTGTTATTTATTATTAAATAGCATTAATATTACAGTTTAATTATGGCTTATACAAATTAGCATGTTTGTTATTTAACAAAACACTGTTAAAAATTCTATTATTATTAGAGATAGTTGAAATGTCAAGAGCATAAAAGATGACTGACAAATAAAAAAGAGCAATTAAAGAAAAATTATTTTTAATTTTGTTAAAAAACACACAAATTAACACCAAAAGATGAAATATTAAAAGTAACACAAAAACAAAAGTTTTATACAGAGTTTGTATAAATGTTTGTTGGTTTTGACACTAAACACTAAAAAAAATACACAAAAAACAGATCATTACACAAAAAAGTGCATAAATGAAGAGGAGATGGATGGATGGATGGATGCTGTAACATACATTTATACAAAACAACAATATTTGTTTGTTGTTTTTTTTATTCTTCCTTTATTATTTTTTTTTATTGTAAATACTCAACATACAATAAATACACTACACTCAACTCACTACACAATAAGCACACGTTCGTTTTTGTATATTTTTTTTGTTTGTTACTTGCTAACTGCTGTTTAATACGTAAAAAGTTGGAAAAAATCTTTTTTTCTTTTTGTACGAAAAAAAAAAGAAACTTTTTTTATGCTGTTTTATTATTATAGGGCGCGCTTTGAATTACGACAAACGACGACGAGGAACTTCTTTGGTTTTGGCTTGCTTGGTTTATTTGCTTTTTTTTCTGTATTTTTGTTGTACTTTTTGTTTCTTTTTTTTTTTTTTGTTCTACACACTATATTCTATTATAAAATACACACAAGAAAGAGCACAATATTCAATATACACAGTCTGTGTGTAAAATGGGAAAAAATGGAAAACAAGAAGAAAAACACACAATTCAACACAATGCAATGCAAACGACGTTTCTTTACCGTATGTTTATTGCTTGCCTGCCTACTACTGCTGCTTGCTGCTATACTACTAGCCCTTGGCCACTAATACGTTTGCCTTTACCATCCATATATCCATATACAATCGTTAAAGGCAGAGTTTTTGTTGTTGTTGTTGGTTTTCTTTTTTATATATATATATACATCCATACACACTCATACATACTTTGCTTTATATGCTTTACACCACGCTTGTGTATTGTTGTAGTTCTTGTCGTTGTGTTGTTGTTGTTGTTAGAGGTTTTTGTGTACTCTCTGCGCGCAGCGCTGCCAACTTCCCTTTTCCCCTTCTTCTACATACAACAAACAAATTCTATTTGATTGTGTATAGCGTAGAAAAAAGTTAAATATCTGTATATGTTTAGAGATAGGGTGTGTATGTATGTTTGTATGTCGTAAAGGAAAAAAGAAATAACCATTAATAACAACAACAACAGCGGCAATAATATTAAACATCGTCATCATCATCGTTGTGTCGTCGTCGACGACAATAAGAAGACAACAACACAAATAATAACGAATGAACGAACAAAAAACGACGTAACCAAAAAAACGATAATGTTTTTTAGCGTTTATTTTAAGGTTTAAAATAAGAATAAGCGTTAAAATGAGTAAAATACTCAAAATAAAAGAACGAACTGCAAAAAATATTAAACAATTTTTAAAATTCAAAAAATTAAAGGAAAATTATAGAATCTAGAAACAAATTTCTCTATAGAAAAAGTTGAATTACAACTTTTTTCTATAGAAAAATTTGAGTAGAACTTATAAATTTGATTAAAACTTATTTTTCTATAGAAAAATTTGCGTTTAATATATTTTTATATAGAAAAATTTGTGTTTATCATATTTTTCAATAGAAGAGTTTGTGTTTATCATATTTTTCTATAGAAAAAATTGTGTTTATCATATTTTTCTATAGAAACATTTGTGTTTATCACATTTTTCTATAGAAACATTTGTATTTATCATATTTTTCTATAGACAAATTTTTGTTTATCATATTTTTCTATAGAAAATTTTGTGTTTGTCATATTATTCTATAGAAAATTTGGTGTTTATCATATTTTTCTATAGAAAAATTTGTATTTTTGTATAGAAAAATCTGTTTTTAACATTCATTTCTATAGAAAAATTTATGTTTAACTTTGTTTTCTATAGAAAAACTTGTAGTATACTTATTTTTCTATAGAACAATTTATGTTAAACTTATTTTTTCTCTAGAAAGAGTTGTGTTAAACTTATTTTTCTACAGAAAAAAACTAAGTTTTCCTACATAAAAATCTGTGCAAAACTTAATTTTTCTATAGAAAAATTTCCGTTAATAAAAATTCTTTTCTATATAAAAATTTATTTTACATTTTTTTATACATAAAATAGTTTTTTCTATTCTTTCTAGGGTTCTATAAATCGACTTTCGAATAATCGAACAATCGACTTTTTGTCGAAAAAAGTCGAAAAGTCGAAGTCGACTATTTTGTTCCAAAAAAGTCGATAACTCGACTATCGTCTATGAAAAAAGTCGAAAAGTCGACTTTGTAAATAAAAGTCGAAAAAAGTCGAAAAGTCGGAAAGTCGAAAAAAGTCGAAAAGTCGAAAAAAGTCGATAAGTCGAAAAAAGTCGATAAGTCGAAAAAAGTCGAAGAAAGTCGAAAAAAGTCGAAAAGTCGAAAAGTCGAAAATAGTCGAAAATTTTAAAAAAGTGGAAAAGAGGTCAAAAACTCTAATATAGTAGGAAAAACTCGAAAAAAGTATAAAATAGTCGAAATAAGTCGAAAAAAAGTCGAAATAAGTCGAAAATAGTCAAAAAGTCGTAAAAAATCGAAAAGTCGAAAAGTCGGAAAAAGTCGAAAAGTTGAAAAAAGTCGGAAAAAGTCGAAAAAAGTCGAAAAGTCGAAAAAAGTCGAAAAGTCGAAAAAAGTCGAAAAGTCGAAAAAAGTCGGAAAAAGTCGAAAAGTCGAAAAAAGTCGAAAAAAGTCGAAAAGTCGGAAAAAGTCGAAAAGTCGGAAAAAGTCGAAAAGTCGAAAAGTCGACCATTTATAAAGTACTAAAAGTCGAAAAGTCTAAAAGTCGACTTTTAAATAAATGAAAAAGGTCGAAAAGTCGAAAAATCGACTTTTCATAAAATGGAAAAAGTCGAAAGGTCGAAAAGTCGACTTTTAACTAAATGCAAAAAGTCGAAAAGTCGAAAAGTCGACTTTTTGTTTCAACTATAGAACCCTAATTCTTTCCCAGAGAACATTTTATATGTCATAGAAAAAATGTCTGTAGAAAGATGGTTCCCTATTTTATCCATTTTATCTCAAAAAAAAAAACTTTATTAAAACGATTTCCCTAAAGAAAAACACGTTAATTTACATAAACGCTTAATTAACTCCAAACAAAAATCGCTAATTTCCATTGCCAGCTGTTTTTTGCTTTAGACCAATTGTTCCTTTATATTGACAACCTTGAAAGATTTACCAAAAAAAAATCACAAAAAGAAAACACAAAAAAAGCTGAATTTTCCTATACACTCTTTTCAATTGAGTGGTGGTTCTTTTTTCTTCTGCTTCTTCTACAAATTTTTGTTGCTGTTGTTGTTGTTTATATGTGATGTGGTGTGCTGTGTATAGCTTCGTGTATTCGTGTGTATTTATGTATAAAACGAGAGGTTCGTGTGTGTATATCTATTGTGTGCATATTATGGATTTTGTTGTTGTTGTTGTTAGTCTTTTTTCTTATTTCTTCTATATACCATGTGCTGCTAACTTGCCCTGCCTGTATTGTTGTTGTTGGTATTTATTTATTTAGTTTTTTGCTCTCTTGTCTCTTTGCATTGTTGTGTATTGCCCTTCGAAAACTTTTTATTTGTAGTCTACTGTTTTTTTTTGGTGAAAAATTTAGTTTGTTGTGTAAAATAATGTTGTATTTTAGAAATTCTTATTTGTTGTTTTGTGTTTATCATCATTTTTATAGTTTTTTCTTATTGTTTTGTTTCATAATGAAGTTATTTGATTAAGAGTTGTATGTACGTGTTTTTTTGTTACTTTTTTTATGGTTTGGCGTCATAAAGGAAAAGACAAAGTTTATCTGTTTTTTGTTAATTTTAATAAAAAAGCTGTAGATACAAAATAAGTAGCAATTTTTAGTTTAAGAAAATAAAAAGATTTGTAACACAAAAAGTACAACAACAAAAAGTAGTAGCAATTATTGTAGTTGTTTTTGCTGATTGTTGCAGCTTTGCGCACCAGCAAAAAAAAACGACGAAGGAAAATCGACCGGCTGGTTTGATTTTAATACGAGTACCATGGTTGCCAGATTTTTTGCGATTTGTTAATGATTTAGCGATTTAGCATATCTATGGTATTAACTGTTATACTGGAATATATATAGAAAAACGTATTTCTATAGAAAAATGCAGTTATACACGAATATTTCTATGGAAAAAACTGTCACACCTACTCGATTTTTTCTAAAGAACAAACTGTTATACTCTATTTTTTTCTAAAGAAAAAACTGTTATACTCCATTTTTTAAGAAAAAACTGTTAAACTCCATTTTTTCTAAAAAAAAACCTCTTATACCCCATTTTTTCTAAAGAAAAAACTGTTATTCTAAATATTTTCTAAAGATAGACCTGTTATACTCCATTTTTTCTAAATAAGAAACTGTTATACTCCATTTTTTCTAAAGAACAAACTGTTATACTCCATTCTTTTTCTAAAGAAGAATCTGTTATACTCCAGAAACTGTTATACTCCATTTTGTCTAAAAAAAACTGTTAAACTCCATTTTTTCTAAAGAAAAAACTGTTATACTCCATTTTTCTAACGAAAAAGCTGTTATACTCCATTTTTCTAACGAAAAAGCAGTTATACTCCATTTTTCTCCAAAGAAAAAACTGTAATACTCCATTTCTTCTAAAAAGGAAACTGTTATACTCGATTTTTTTCTAAGGAAAAATTGTTATACTTCATTTTTTTCTAAAGAAAAAAACTGCTATAATCCCTTTTTCTAAAGATAAAACTGTTATACGCCATTTTTATAAAGAAAAACTATTATACTCCATTTTTTCTAAAGAAAAAACTATTATACTCCATTTTTATAAAGAAATCACTGTTATACTTCATTTTTTCTAAAGAAAAAACTGTTATACTCTCTTTTTCTAAAGATTATGCTCCATTACTGTTATACTAAAATTTTTTCTAAAAAAAATATGTTATAATCCATTTTTTCTAAAGAAAATTGTGTATAACACTTTTTTCTATAGAAATATTAGAGTAAAACAGTAGGTATTTTCTATAAAAAAGTTCTTATTGATGAAAAATTTGTGTATTTTTGTGTAGAACAATTGTGCTGCTACAGAAAAATTCGGGTACAGCAGTATTTCTACAGAAATTATGTGTATAAGAGTTTATACACAGAAATTTGTGTGTATGACAATTTTACCTATAGAAAATTAGTGTATAACAGGTTTTTTTTAAGAAAATTTGTGTATAACAGTTTTTTTTCTATAAACAGTTTACAAGTTTTTTTTAAATCGTGTACAACAATTTTTCTATAAACAAATTGTGTATAACAGTTTTTACCATAGAAAAGTTCTTAAAAAATATTAATGTTTTTTCTAAAACATCTGGCCACTCTATATATTCAACCATCATTTTACGATGATTGACCTTTTGTAAGGAAATAATGTCAATAAAATAACATCAACAATTCTTTTCCTTTATTCTTCTTATTGTTTCCCTTTTTACCACATACAATCAAACAAAAGGATTTTTTGCAACAAATTTAACGCATGCAAAAGAATTATTAAGCCAAAAAATACACAAAAGGACATTCCCCCCTAAAAGTTTTTTTTACATTCTCTTTTATGTTTCAAAATCTACAATAAAAATAAACAAAACATCTTTTTTTGCACAATTATTTAGCCTTGAATTATATTTTTACCTACATACCAAATAAACATTGTCTATGAATAACTCTACTCGAAAAACGAATGAAAA